GAAAGCAAAGGTTGCTATGTTGAGCGATCACAATGTTCAAGTAACGAGCCCCCGACGTCGGTCGAATGAGCTCTAACACTTATGTTCAAATACGCACCAACAGCGATACTAAAATGTGCTAGATTAGTCGATCTTATTGCTGCAACGCCATTAAGTAAATAGGATTGCGAGAGTGGTTCCGGAAATACCCGATGCCCGCAAAAACACGTAACGCCGTCTTTTATCTGCTTGAAGCGTAAGTTATGTTTGACGCCATTTATGGTTGTATTACCGAGTAATCCAGTTAGAAAAATTGACAATGTCTCGAGTTCTGCCGAGGCACCCGCTTAGTTGGTAACTTCTGAAAAATCTTACGATCTTAACGTTTACGGCCACAGTTTGTTTCAGTATTTTTCTAACCCCATTTACGTTTGGGCGCCCCAATACGAGACAGCAGCCTTAGTGTTACGCACATGGTCCTGCAAGTCTCAAATCAGAATCGAAAGCTTTTGACGAACTGTTAAAAGTTTGAACTTAAAGACTCAAAGTGAAACTCTTCTTCATATGCATGCTGTTTCACTTCTTATACGATCATGCAGTTACAAAATATTAACCGCAAAGTTACTTTTATCATCATCATTAATTTCAGCCTCTAGCTGGAAAATGACGATCAGCGCCACATGATCCATGATCATGGAACTTCCTCGCACGCAAAGGTTAATTTCGGGTATTGAGACAGATAGTATAGTCGCGTTATTTATAGCCTCAAACTAAACTATATTATTAGCAGCTGCATTTAAATAAATGAAAAAAGAAAGGCTTATACATAAGTAAAGGACTAAAATTCGAAACCTAAAGCACCGACTGGTCATTTGCAAAATATCTTTGTGAGTAAAGCGATATGGGAAGCGTGTAAACTCCTTAAGGTGTCGCTCAAATCTCATATAGACAACTATGTAGGATCGAAATTCAGATTGACAGTAGGCCAGACGTGAGAGGTGCAAAAACGAGCGGAAAATTTTAAAATGTCTTTAAAACTTATCTGTACGATCTGATTGGAAAAAATATATATTTCCTTATTAAAAATGGCCATTACTTTTTGCAGGCAAAACCCAGACGTATCAAAAATGACTTCATGAGTTACTTTGATGTATTTTCGAGTAGTAAACGTAAACCTTACTGAAAGTATCTTCCGATCTTCCTCATGGAACCCTTTCTCGGATTATTCAGAAGACGCATGAGAACGGGAGGTAATATATAGATAGTGTCGATTTCAGGTGCAAAATTGAGCTTCTAATCTTGGTAAACGTTCGTCGAGTGTGAAATAATTTCATAAAAGGGGAATATTCGTTTAAAACAATTTTTGCCACTGCGAGTTTATTGTTTCTTTGTAGCAAGCAATGGCTTCTTTTTAGTACTACAAATAACGGGTAAATGTATATTTGCCGAGACGAATACGCATATATACCGCGATTAACCGAAGCGTGAAATTGCATCGACATATTTCTTATTATATAAGTAAAATTAAGATAATTTTCAAATCTGTCGCAGTAATTCTTTATACGTATTTTTATTTGGGACAATTTCTAAGCACATGATGCTTGATCTTAGGCACAGTCACACAGACTTGCATATGTAACATCTCCGCATCGTTCTGGGGGGAAGTACTACATCTGCACAAATTCCCCCCTGTACATCTCATAATATTTATCTATGACGTAGAACATAAATATCGATAGTAAAGTAACGCAAAAGAAAAATGTGTTTTTACCAATAGTACAACAACAAATATGGTCTCTCAGGTCCACCTTTTGCTCTGGTCATCGCTGTTATAGAAGGACACTGCATACTCTCCTTGTACAAACGCATAATTTATGCTATCTGACGACGATAGACAGTTGACAGAATTCACGACTTTACGCCGAGGCACTGAAGGACGGAAGCAAACGAATTATAAGCTAGCTGGGCTATCATTTGTATGGCTCTTTGCACTAGTCGCGTTCAATTAGCACCGTTAGAATACCGTAAAATAGGGTTAATTAACTTACCCTACCCTGATTTTCTTACGCTACCTTATTTTTGTCAACCAAACATTTCATCTTGCTACATGCGATCAAGTTTTTACATGCCTCTCCGACGAAGCCTGTCTTACGAAAGGCTTACAATTAATCCATCGTAATGGTAAATTTGCAGTTAACCCAACTCAGTCACGGAAAGCAGGCAGTTGTGGAGGTCGGCGTACAAAATCGCTGAGAAAACTATCACCTAGTATTATTGCAGGCTCCGTTTCTTGCAGAGGGTAGTCGCTCTGCGTAGAGCTGCGCATGATCCCTTGCGCCTTGGGAAAACTTTTACTTTACCTTTCATGTCATAAATGTGTGCCTGGGTGGGCGTGGCGTAATGTTCGTATACATAATATAATGTTTAGCGCGCTGTGCTTGTTGACTTTGTGAATATTCAATAGAAGATTGATAGAGGTCACAGCTACTTCAAAGGTTACAATTTGAGAAGTATATAAATGTATGCGCTACTTCGTCTCACGACATACGCTAAACCCCCTCACTAATGTCAGCGTTCTCAGGGAAAGATGCTCGTATGTAAGCAAATTGCGTGTTCTGATCTTGCACAGCAGAAATATTCCCCTTTTCTCTATTATTATATTTAGTTCGCGAGTCCGGCTTGCTACTACCCCATTGTACAAACTAATTTATACTTACTACCATCAAAAGGAAGGTATTATTTTACTATTAGCCGACACCGCCTCGAAACTAGGCCAAAACGCGATCGGCATCTACGAAAAGGCACTAAGTGATACATTGCAAACCATGGCGAAATTCTGACGACAGAAAGAAAATAATAATTACAGAGCTCTATGATATTACGCGCGTGCCTCCATAACCCATTAGGTCATGTGGTGTCTATAGGCTAAACTTTTGGCCGTGTTTGAAAGGGCTCACTGTACTTGTTATATATGGCCCGAGCAACGCGTCGTGCCAACGTAACAAATATATTGGCCTTGCTAAAGTTAAAATCCCCTAATCCATAAAGAGGACATGAAATATTACCTAAATTCAACACTAAATATCGAGTCAAGTGAATTAGGGTATGACAACTTTTACCACTGCTACAGCTTATCTAATGTAGAAATTTAACGCCCTACAGTATATTCATAGGTCTAGTCTTTGGCTTTGAGCCCGCAGCCTGCCATGTTTCTATTAAGGATAGTGGTGCATTTTCGACACTTCATTCATTTATTGAAGTTCAAACTCGTCCTCAGCTGCTAGCGTAATGAGAGGCTAGCTTGTTATGTGTTCAAGAATCTTTCGTTTCATTCTGTACGGAAGTTTGTGTATCAGTGACGCTTGTGCTATCGACCAAAAATGCACAACCTTTACGAGGCTTGGAGAACCTATTCATACGACTCGTCAGAGGATATTTATTAACCATATAACTATTATAAAAAATTAAAATTATTTGTAAAAATGGTTAGAGTTTCGTCAGTTCTATATAAGTATGTATTATAATACTGCTTAGCCAAACGCTCGTTCGTGCTCCCTTAATAGCGTTCTGCGCATATAGCTACATATATTATAACCATGCAAACCATAGACCCGAGCGCTTCCCTTATGACTGTTTATGGCTAACTTTAGATTAGAATGATGCTTGACAGTGTTGTGCAAATTATCTAGTAGCGCATACTGTTTATCCTGGATACAAGCGCTTTTTACATTATAAAATTCGAGCTTAAGATTTCCGTTTCAAAACAATGCCCTTTCTACATATCGGACAATTGTGCCATCATTTGTATCAAAGTACGCCTGTGGACCGCTGCTGATAGTAGAATACCGTGAGCACCGATGCCGTATAACAGGCATCAGAAGGCGGTGGGGTGACGATGACGGTCGTCATGGTACGTAATTTTATTGTAACGTATGCACAGTAGGATGGAGTGTTGCTACATAGATGGGGTAAAATGGAGCGGGATTAAGTGGAGCTGATTAGGATGTCTTTATGTTAACTGGTAGAGTGCGCGGTTGGAAAATAGACGTGGCATTGATCCTTCTGTATCTAAGTGGGTGCGAATGTCGTTCGCAACTTGCTATACCGCAAACCGAGCTTAAAACACGGTTACAAGGTTTGAGCGAAATCACGAGCACAGTGGGCCGAATTGGCCCGATCTGGCTTTACAGAATAAGAAATTTAACTTTTACCCTTACTACCTACTGTTTCGAAGATTCAGCGGCTACCCAGCGCCTAGCTCCTATTTCGGTGCTACAGACGCCTTAGAAAAGCTTTAGAACGTGACAACTGAATTGTTGGGCCACCGGTTCAATGGAAGAATAACCACCAAGGCTAAGAAATTTTACTACATAAACTGCGTCATAAGACAGCATAAGACAGCATTGATATCATGCGCTCGATAAATATAGATTTCAGGCGTTTCAGAGGCGCCCCTTACGAGAATAGTAAATTAATGCTTGGTATGAACCACGTAACCTTCGGGCCAGCAACCCTGAACAACAGTAGCACTAGCTGATACCTCAGGGGGGCTAGTCACTGTGTTGTAGTACGTCATGCCGTATGTTTTAGGTGCCATTGTTAAATAACATTTCTATTAGATATGATGTTTACTATAGGATTTTCTCATCGGCACCGTTTTTGAAACGTGTGTACCTGTACTGAAAGAAACTTGCTTTCGTTTGACGGGAGGCGATGCGTAACCTATGTGATGTAGTTTCGAAACTTCCCGGAACTTTGAATGTTCCTAAACCGCCAAAACGTAGAGTCATAGCGCTCAAATAGATAGCGGTAACTGTGGGAGCACAGCGCATTGTCACTTCACGAAAAAAAAAATAGTGGCAATTAGTAAAAACGGACATCAGGGATCGTTTCTACGACCTTTGATCAACTGTAGAAAGAACCAATTTTCATGTTGCTAACTGAAACGCCGTTTTTTTAATTGCATAGGCATTAAATACTTGATAACAAATATCTTAATTTTGTTTAAAAAGGACAAACAATTGAGTTTATTTACATATTCGTCTCTATTTACAAGGGTCTATGCACATTTCTGCATCGTATGAAAGGCTGAGTTTGGAGACGCAGGCGAAGAAAGAAGCCTCCGAGACAAAAAGGTACATTATCGTAAAATGAACAGATGTCATTTAGTAGAATGATTACCCGTTGCCAGTTAGGTACCCACATGTTTGGCGCTGTTGCAAACTCAATTATCGGCTCGCGAAGAAAACTGACAATCCTTAGCAATGAATCATCAATATCAGACGCGGTTTCGACATTTTGAATTGCAGCATCTACGAGCGATAGATTCTAACACATTGTATACTCGTTATTTTTGCATTGTTTCAATATATAATACACATCTCTTTTACGGTATCGTTTCCTCCGTAGATATGTCAGTAAACTTAATTCGGTTTCAACAGCCAATAAGGGACTGCCTAAATGCCTACGAACTACTTCACAAGAAACGTAAGACTACATCTTTTTGTCAGCTATCAGGTTTTTGTAAAAGCACATATCGTCTGTAGCAAACATTTTTTAAAAATTGTCAAACAATTTCTCTTGTTTCTGCAACGTGCAAAATGTGTGGCAAGCCTCCATCAATTTACTGGCCCAGCCTTATAATTGAGTATCCAATGGCAGAATCTGTAGAATTTAGTAATCGTTAAAAGGCGATCTCAAGCTGCACAATAGAACATAGCTATCAAACGCTTGATCTCTTTGTCTGGCCATTTCTGTCAATATCTGCTTCTTTTCTCTATGCTCACATGCATCATTTAAGCTATTGTTGTCCAAATATTAGCAGTTCTATCTTTACCGAAGATGCTGAGCTCTGTCAACTGGATAATTGTTACGGCGACGATGTATGGTGTTTGAACAGACAGGGGGCGAAAAATGCTATTTCAGGTCCAACTCGCTGGCGGGACAAAATGTAACTACAAAAATTAGATGCAAGTACAACACGAAGGACTAGCAAGGATGTCGCTACGGATTCGTTTGCCGAGATTATGTCTGGCCTATCCTAATTAGGTATTCGGCCGTAGTCTCAGGCATGTTCGGTCACAAACAACAGCGTGGTCCTCTGTCTGTTCTACGCTCTGACCAGTTCGGTCGCAGCACATCTCTCCCACAAAAAGGTTCCAGGTGACGCCCTCACACAAAATAGTAATTGAGCACTTTGCCGAATGGCGATACGCCGCAGTGTTCGTAGATTTTCCCACAATCAATTCCGCGAATTCCGCGCACGAGCGATTCAGCGTACGAGGGAAACATTCGTCCGACGGTCTCAGAAAAGAGGTCAAGGAAGCGTGCCATGGCCGGTTGCTTATCGAGAGTATACGATCCTAGCTCGCAGAACATCTTACGACGACATTCGCTGTCTCTTACATCCAGGACGTCGAGACCACGTTCCAGGAGTTCACCTGCGAAAAATACCGGAAAACATATTGGCACCAATAGGATACCAGCGGTGTAGCACATGCACATGTATTTACTGTTTCTTTTCAGCTAAGGAACCGATTTGGACCCGTTTAATCGTACTAGACAGTATCGGACCTACCTGGTTGGAGTGAACGTGCCAGTTGTTGAGGCTCGAGTGCCCGAGCTGCCTCATCAAAGCCAAACGACGAAAGCATTGGCGTTAATTGGTTGAGCAGCGGCGTCATACTACGAACAAACGCTGGAATCATGGACGGTGCCAATGTTGTCATGAAAAATGCTGACCCTGCAATAAACGTCGTAAATAAATCAACCAAAATATCAGTTTATTGGTACTCAGACGCGCGGCCATTGTGCACAGCTGCCTTCACTGATTCAAATTGTATCGACTAATAAACAATGGGTCGAATAGATTTACAAAGCTCTCTAATTTAAAATCATATTTTCGTCCCTTTTTGTTAAGGGGACCGCGATTAGAATACATAAAAAGCATATGAGTGATGAACATGCGACCGAGATTTGCTCAGGATAAGTTAAAGCATTGATAATTCTAACGCAAGCAACGTGGTAATCACGATGCCTGAATTATATTTTTGACAAATCAAAAACAAAACCCACCGAGAAGCATAAGCGGAAGCCACAGCGGCAAAAGGAAGGGTGAAACTGCAATGGCGGCTAGAATGCCACCGGTTCTTTCAGCGAACTCAGCTCCGAGTGAGCGGGCCGTTGCCGAAATTTCCTCAGCGAGGCTCCTCCGTGCGCGAGACTGCATCCAGTTTCGCACCATTTCCTTTGTTGCCACTTGCATAATACCGGTCACTGTAAATATCGTTGGGACGATTACTACAAAACCTTGTTATAGTTCCTGAACGTTGGGAATAGTTCCTGAACTTTGGTATTTTGGGGAACGTTGGTATAGTTCCTGAACATCGATTGGGATGCAGTTGTTAAATTGAAGCTTCCGACATACGTCCACCATCATTAGCGGGTAATAATTCGAAGTTACTTTTTGCAAGACTTGAAAGCTTTAGCGAAAATGGCCTAGCTACATGCGCGTGCACACCACAAGGGCACATACTTTAGTACGTACTGCTATACCGTAGTGTATAGTCTGTGACTACAGCTACACGACACTAACGAGCAGGAGTATACGTGAAACGTATTTTGACTCTATTACAGTAAGCTTAAGGATTGTTGCAAAGTATGTATGCCAATCATCATACGTATGTACGTGTTGCCTCACGACCTGGTAAATAGATGCATGTGTACGCACTTATTGGATCCGCGGCAGCTTGGTTGATAAGTAACACGATGAGAAACCCTGCTGTCGACTGGCGGTAATACGAACTAGCATAGGCCATTGCGTGCACCTTTAAGAACAGAGAAACGAAAAGGCAAAATCTACAAATAAACGGAAACTAGACAAAATAAGAGGTAGTTAATAGATGATGAATAATTAGCTGCAATTAGCATTGTAAGTGTGACGATTATGTACGACTTTCATACGTCGAAACCTATTTATGTTGCTACACGAATTACCTTACCAGTAGGTCTTACGTAAAGGAAATCTCTAAGGCTATCGTAAAGACCGTATTAAATGGTGAAACAAGTTCTATGCGCCAAGGTCTTTACCAACGTTTATGCGCCTTCAAATGTGAACTTGTGGTTCAACAGTAATTACATAAGCCAGAGATAATATAGGTATCGGCGCTAGCTAAGAACTCGTCCTCGTATAGAGTAGGGAAATATAGGGGACAGTATAGGCAGTTTATTTGTTACGTGCTTAACTATCTTTGTTATGTTACGCTACATTCGCGTACTTCACGGGTCGTGTTCTGTATCCTGGCAAATGAACATTGCTTATATAGAAAAAACTATGATAATTGTCTTGCCATGTCGTATATGCAAGGCCAAAAGCTATAACCAAAAGAGACAGTATATTTCGAATAGCTGCAAGTATGCCTCTTGAGCAGCCGGGGGTAGTACATTACGCTAAATTGATGAACAGTCATGACCGTCAGGTGGAGTCAAGGAGGTTCTGGAGAACAAGACACGAAACATTGTTACAGCTGTTTCTCGCTTCTCTAGAAAATTCGTCTTTAACCCCTATATGTGTCATTATTTAGAACATTCAAATGCTGGTTTCTTATTGTAAGACCTATAAAATACCAGTTACGATCCTTGTTAACCTAGCTAGCTCCGCATTAAGTGGCTACGATTTTATCACGCAGATATCTCGACGCTTTTTGAAAAGGCAGATATTTCATTGTACATGTGCTAAATAACGCACAAAATCACTGGTGGTCCATACAGTCTTACTTAGAGCTCGTATAACACCCATCCTGAAGGGTCATACGGTAATACCCCAGGCGTCTGTAACAGGATCTTAAAAGTGGATTCATAATTACAGCTGTTCTTTAGTCTATAAGATACAGAGGCTAAAGTAACTTCTGCAGTGACAATCAATCTCAACGGCTGTATTATGTAAACCTTGGCCTTCTCTATAAAGTGCTGAATAGATTCTTTTTATCTTTCTCATAACAGACCATTCCCCGCTGACCAGAAATTTTCGAAGTTCGTGGGTTCGTCCCTCTGAGTAAATGCTTTAGAGTGTAACTGACCTATAGTAGATGCTAATCGAGAGCCCAATAAAGCACTAAGTTTATACGTGAAGGCCTCGACAATAATCGGCCTCGTTTTCAAAGCAAACTGCCACTAAGCTAATTAGAGCAAGTTCACTGCTTAGCTTTTTCAAGCATTAACTGGATGAAGTCACAATGATTTCTCATTATAAGTGAGCACCCCACTACACAATTCCTTGCCTAGAATCGTTGAACGTCAGACCATAAGAAGCGCCTCAGACCCCCCGACATCTATCAGTCAGGGAAACTAACCAACGTAAATAAGGCAAAAACTTTGTTTGTTTCTGCCCGCGTAATAGTATTCATTATATCAACATACGATAAAACTTTCACTTAACAAAAAGAAAGAGCGGAAATTGCTACGATTAATATCCGTTGCTGCACCAAACAACACGACTCGGAAGAAACCTCCCGAGAGAAGTGTATCAAGAAAATGTAAATGTCATATTAGGAAGCAGATTTTTTGCAGATTCACAGATATATTGATCATATTTACAATTCAAAATTCAGCATAGATGGTACAATAGTTGCTGGCGAAGATAGGTAACCGCCATTGAGGGTACTGATAGCGAGTGGTGAGTATGGACGTCGTTAATTAAACTTGGCCGGAATAAAAAAATCCTACGTTGCAGGCTGAAGATCAAAATTTCAAGCTGACGAATCCGCCAGTCAGCTGTCTAGGCAAGGCTGATAATTAGGAATTCACTGAAATCATAACGCCAACAGCTGTTAAGCCTGTCGAACCTGTGTGCTACCGCAAATGTTTGAGAACTTTCTTTAAGTAGATCACATGAATTCACGCGAACGGTGAAGGCTATTTAGAGCTTGGACGACAAGGACACAACGAGTATTCGGTAGCTCAATGAGGAAAAACCTACTAAATTTAAGAAATCTGTACGATACAAGCATCTGCAAGTACAGCCTGACTTCGGCATAGAAGACGGATATCTGTCTAAGTACAACTCGGCCATGTCCTAAATTATAGAAAATTATGATCGCTCTCAACAAAGTGGAAAGTTGTTATCTTTTTCAAAGATGGCCCTTTCAAGTAGCTTGCTTTAGCAATATACAATTGCGGAAGCAAATAACGCGATGCCTATAGCGTTCCCATTTATGAATGTACGTGAACCAATACTGCGGATCATACGACAAATTTCACCATCAATATGTAAAAGAGAGAACAGTTTAATAGGGCATGTTGCAGATGACGTCACTGCAACACATGGAGACGGAAAGCAGATATCTATGACAATTACTTTTAATGCTATACGTTATAAATGGATATGCAATCATAAGATATACAAGTTTATAATACGATATTTTTATAACAGCATATTATAATAGGTATTAAACCGGTGGGGGATTAGTTAGAAAGTCAATTTAATCAAATTACTTTGAATCACAAAGTTTTCAAGTGTCGATAAATTGTCCTACTTTTATCAGGTACTTTTTTCCAGAACCCAAGTATCGCTTCAGGCAAAAATTTCTGTTTACTTACTAGTCATGGTATAAGATTAAATCTAGCAAGCATGTAGCATAATCACGCGAGCATCTAAAGAGACCCCCCCAGAAGTACTGATCTGTACACCCTTTTAATAATATCCAATAGAAATATTGTTGTTATTAGTGAGATTCCTCACGCAGCCGATCTTAATTTTTCAGACATTTGGTGTTAATGAGAAAATTTATTCGATCCGAGTATCTCCCTGACGTCTATTATGGTTAACAACAGCCATAAACGCTGTAAATATCCGATTAGGTTGCCAGCACCCGAGTCTGCCTACGGGACGGTTTGCTTCATACTGAACGGCTTGACAAGGTTTACAAATCATTATAAATTTTATCCGAAGCATCTGTACTCTTTAGCCCAATTTTTTGTATTTGCATAATAACAGTAATTGTTGTGACGTTAAGCTGAAGCGCGGAAGTCTTCGAAACGTTCAGAAGGGTGTTGTTTGTGACAGTTTACTGAGATAATCGTAGCACTAATCAATATACTTACTGTGGAAAGAATATCCACGGCGAGGTGAGCGTCGACGCTTTTTTAACGGAACACAGTTAGAATAACTTCTTTCCCTACTACAGCTAACTCATTCGTGTGTAGTTCACGAATTCAATCAAACCCTTGGCACGGTACAGCTCCTCCAAATGACCTTTCTTCTATTGCACCGCCTCCGATTGTGACTGCGGTGACGATTGCAGAAGGACTGAGCTATTTCGTTCGCCGTCAACAGAAACACTCTGGGAGAGGAGACGACGGCCATCCGCCATACCGCGAGCGTCCTCCCATCACAAGCAGCAGGCCACACTCTACTGCGGGGGCTCTATGGCTATCCAGCAAGCTATTCTTTCTTTCTTTTTCTCTTTTCATAGCTAGTCCTCCTGTCGTAGCCTAACGTATACACACAAAGTCTAGAGAAAGATCTAGACGGCGTAAGATAGCAGATACCGCTATACTGCAGACTGACTGTACACGCATACCCAGTAAATCTTTTGAAGAAACGGTAGTTTTTACAAAGTGTAGCCAGAGGACGTACCTATATTGTATGTTGTAGCTACTCATAGCTTCGTTCAGCGCTCTCGGCCTGAACACATACAAATAGAACTTCTGTATGGTGCACCAGCATAGTCAACACGACCGTCGCCACCACGCTCATCCAGAGGCGTTCTATCATCACATGTTTGAGATTGCACATGGCAGTACTCGCACGCACATGCACCCACACACACATCTACACAGATACCCACAATGAAGTTCGCAAATGTTTTCGTTGTGGATGTCGTCACCGTTGTTGATGCCGTAGCTGTGTCCATACGCGACTTCTATGCACGTACGGGCCGTGAAGAAAACTGCCTTCGTTTGCCGCGTCGAAACAGATCGATCGCATACGATAATTATCAAGGAATTTAATTTTTAAGAGGGGGTGAGCAAAACGAGAGTTCTTTATCCCGAAAGGGAGTGACCAATGCGACCTGATACGAATGGACCTGTCCTCTTTAACTGCTAGCGGAACAGAGAGAGAGAAAGAAAAAGGTCTGAGAGCAAATAAATAGTTTACGGCTGTCGGGGGTTACCGACCACAAGTCGTCGATCAGTGTCGAAGCTTGGGGGGTTAACAAGAGATCTAGGAGGAGAAGAGTTCGCCGACGACTTCTTCGAAAATATCGATACTAACCGTTCGCAGCAGTAGCTGGCTATTTATTGAGCGACGGCAACGCCAAGACCTACCTACGGCCACACCAGCCCGACATCACCCCAAATACGAACATTGTTGCGCAAAGTAAGAAGTAACAGAAGCAGTACTAACTTTCGCTTGAAAGTACTCGCAATGTCCGGCGTACGCACAAAAGATACGAGCCAATCTATTAACAACCCAACACGGTGGAAAGCGTGTCATTTTTTCTCGTCTGTTCTGTTGAATGCTCACTATAATCTACCTCTAATTGCTGCAGACTAAGCCTCAAGAAAAGGTCTCATGGTCAACAGAACCAAACCCGTTTTACCGAAACTACACTACAAGGAGGCCCCTTAATTATGCAGCTTTAGCAATAAAGTACAGTTATATTTTACCTCTATAACGATTGTGGTAATTGCAAAGACCTGCGTGGAGCTATCTAAAGTAATTCTCAAGTGACATAGTACACCTCTATCTATTTTTTTTACCATGTCAATCGATTAGTTACTTTTTTTTATTGCACCAACTTGGACAACATATTTCTAGCTTCGTCATTTCTTTCTATTGCTTTTACCAGTCATATCGCGTTGTTCTATCGATTGATCGGTGGTTCGGAAATGCTTTAAGTTGGCTGCTCTATATTTGCCCTAGAGGCGAGGCACCCTTGCTTCATCCGTCAAACTGCTAAATAAGTGAGAGAAATGAATGACCCCATTCACGAAAACTGTGTAGTCGCCCCCGTACGGACATCGTCCGTGTTTTCCATTTTCAACGGGTGTCAGTGGGAGGATTTTATAGATCTGATTTTTATTCAGTTAAGGAAAACATCACTCTCGTAGTAACTGGCATAGTCTTAAAAAGGCTTACTTCTAGTCCACCTAACTATTTGAACTTGTAAACACGTCGAATATTGTCGAGTACAACTTGATGGTCTACTTATGATAAAAGCACGCCACTAAGATTCGTGTTAGACCATTTGAAAATATAGGCTCGCTTTACGTGTCTCTACACAACAGCGGCTACGCACCGTTGCATACTAACATTGTTCCGCTCATTTATCCACTTCGTAGAAGAAACCCCTTTTTTTTCTTAAGCATTATAGGTGCTAGTCTGAAATATGTATTTGTGAAGTTACCAAGTTAATGGTTCTGCTGCGTTTCGCCACTCCGGATCATTGCGTGTTATTTGAAGCAACGGCAATACATCAATGATCTATTGTATTCAAATACTCAATATTCCTTTGCTGTCCTAGTTGACGGGCAGTGCCTACATTAGTACGATAGATAATATCCATCTCTAACGATAGGCAACTCCCCTTCGCTTCGCAGTTATGAGCATCATATCCTCGTTTGGGGAAGCTTACTACAGAGGGGCCGACGTGATACGGTGGTCTTCAAGTAATAGCGGCTTACTAAAGTTTCATTCGTCACAATTTAATTTCAAGATAAGTTTACGCGCACCTTCTGTCTTCTTTGCGAAACAGTGGCAGTGCAGAGATCAGGGACAATCAGTAAAATTTTGCATCACAATACGTTTTTTGAGCAGCAGAGGAGCAGAGCGAAAACTATTTTCTCTATCGTAAAACTAGCAAAAATCCACTCGCTTTAAATTACTACTAGGACTAATTGAATCTTACTGGTAAACTTCTTATTGCTACTCTCCGTAGTATATAAAGAAGAAAGCATCTAATCGCATGTGCAAGTTTATCGTTAGAAAAAAAATTTGCCTCGGAAAAAAAAATTTATCGATAAGTATAACTAAAGCTATGCACCCATTTTTCTGCACAATGGAATTTCTTCATGTAATTTTTTGAGCTTGTGGTGTCTCCGACGAACGAAATACATTATCTACCCATAGTTACGCACATTACGATGAAATACTCTCATCTTGATAAGAACAGCGAATATTTCTTATCAACGTGGGGGATATGAGTTCTGAGGAACTCCAGAATCAGCTTCACCGTCAAAATCGACTCCTCAGCCTTCGCACCTTCCTTAACCAACGTAGTCGAGAGATCGATGGCGGGCGAGGCGGTTTCACGCTGTGAGACAAACGACAATTGGTACCAGAGACTCCACTCTGGGGGATGAGATGGGGCACCACCTAGTATATAGTAATCGAACAACCGTCAGACAGAACAACCGCTTTAACTTCAAATGCAAAATGTAAATAATAGTTTGTGTTATTTTTAGCTCATGTGCCAATAAATGTATACCCCCAAAGAGTGTTATCTTTGAAAATGGATTACCAAAAAACGCTCTTTCATCTTCGTATGTACACAGCCGACATTAGCATACACAAAGTGGCACGCAAAACAGCACAAAAGTATCGGCTGGGGGGAGTGTACCATGCTTTCCTCTTGGACGTGCCGTAAGCATACATTGCAATTAACGTTTATTAAGTATTATTAATTTATTTACTCATTTTGCAAATTTTGGAGATCAATTAGAGTGCACGCGATTTACTGGCTCAATCCTGCAGCGAACATGTGTCCCGTACTCACGTAACGAGGAACACTGTTCACAGCTAAATACTCTGGTTAACGCACAACTCCCCGTCGATCTGTGACCGATTACAAACAACGATCACCGTTATTTTAGCAAAAAAAAAATAAATAACATATTTCTTTCTATTACAACACGTTTTCATCTCTGCAAATATGCGCATTGGTTGTAGGCAACGCCTTTCGGAGTTATTGCAAATATGTAAGGAAAAGGTTTAAAAAAAATTAAGTAAACGTAAAAAAAAGAGACACGAATTGCATAGCAATATGTGTATTAATGACGAGAGTCACAGTTTCATAACTAAGCCTTTGTAAAGGTGAAAATCTTGACTCGTAGTATGAAGTCAACGGTGATCTGCTAAAAAAAAGTAACGATGTGAGTTTAAAAACATCATGACAAACATACAGTTGAATTCGTTCACGATGAGAGGTGCATCTCTTCCAGCCTATTTCTTTTTAGATATATTTCGGTTTAATAAATACCGTTCTGGAGCACAGCTAGGGCCTACGAACTCTGATCGTCGTGAATTTACAAAAACGAAAAAAAAAAAGTCACAAAATACATGATTCGGCTGCTGTGAACATATAACCCTTCAAGCTAATCATACATATTTTTTTTATAAGTCTGTGTATTTTATGGAGTCAGTTTGTATTGCGGCAGGTACGAATAATTGTCCCTGAAATAGTTTAGTAGGTAACACATGTGCATGCTAATCCTAACAACCCGTTATAGTCTAAATTCAAACCCGAGTATAGACAGAGTTCGCTTCGTAGTGGGGGCCGGCTGACTGCTAAAATGCCTGACGATCGAAACGTAGTCCGGGTAATATAATAATTAATAGGTATTTCCGTCATTGTTGCAATATATAACGGCCAGATACAGAGCAGGACAATCGATTTTGTACCGGTAGTAGTGACACCGAAAGGATAATGAGGCCAAGTTGCCGAGATGGCTTCTTATTTTAAGGATAATGTGGTCGGCCAAGCCGTTATGCTACGGACAAGGGGCGTCTTGGGAGTTACGTTACCGCCAAACCTACTATTTTTTTTTACAGCGGAAGGTATCTGCGGCCAGCCGCATCAGCGCCTGCTCGGGCTTGTGTCAGGTTGATAATTGAACTCCTACTCAATACTAGTTCGAATCCGTGGTGGATAGCCCGGACACGTAGAAGAAGCTCAAGGCTCATATATTCAAACGATATCTATGGGTGGACCACCATACGTGTCAGAATAATATACGCGAATTCATGTTCTATATTGTCACAGATATAGCCATGATGTTTCAAGTTAGATACTAGACGACGAGGATCGGACTAAATTTTAAACTGCGCGCTACGGAATGATATTGGTACAATAAACATGCTTACGCAGAGGGACCCTTTTACCGTATGTCCAAAAGTGAATGCTTGTATATCATCAGAGCGTTACGACTCTGTTGCATTCTCCACAACAATCAGACCCCCTGAAGATATAATGGTAATATGAAATTGTTTTTTGCCTAATTTTTCTTTAGCTACAGGTAACGTAGAGTACATAAAACGTGGAACCTATATGGTGCAAAAATCAAGCATAACTCACTGTGAAGGGTTTGTCAGGGTAATACGCAGTTAAGTAAATTCAAATTTTCAACATAATTTTCACTCTAGTAATATAAAAACCGAAATTCTATTATGTCCCTGACCCTTCTTCAAGCATTTGGCGCGCAATATTGAAAACTCCTATTCAGGACGTTTCCAGCAATGAGTCTTCCTGCACAGCCGGCTCGTTAAAATTTTACGATGGCCTAGTTTACAGGGCTTGATTATTCGAATAGTAGTAATGTCTTGCTAGACAGCTTTGTAGAAACGGAGCCCCATATTTCATATCAGTGGACAAATGGCTGTCGTTGTGATTGTTTCGAGTAGAAGGTGTTAGAATTGAGTTGAAGATTACAGTTAGTTGTCATGGACACGTAGAAAAGTACTGCGATGGGCGCAAGTTCGTCTACGTCGCGCACAAACTGTAGTTTAAATGTTACGCCGCCGGTGTTATACTCAGTAAAATCGGCCAGCCAATATTGTTCTTCCTAAGAGGTTTTGCTTTTTCGGGCTGGACGTTTGCCGTAGTAGGATTATGTCAACCGCTGTGTCTACAAGGTGCGTGAGCCCCATGGCGCCATTCTGGAGTAGCTAAAGCGTCTGTATTAGAAAATAGAGTAATTCAGAAAGTACTAAGATTGTATATTGCTGAAGACTCTACACAAAGAGCCTTATATGGCTTAAAACTTGAGCTGTACGTAAAATACGTGTAATCTTGGTAAATAAGTTGTGACCATATAAATGGCCAAATATATAACCAAAATTGTCTGTTAAGTTTTTGAAAAGTATTGACCTTGAAATATCGTATATCTTCACAGCTGGCATATCTGAAATAACCTAACGAATACTTTAATTTAACCTAAAACTGGATTTTTTTTAAAACGCTTAGATCATTACATCAACGCATTGACTTAATCTATTTCATGCGTTTATAAAGTATGACAATAGAAGGTTCAGATGGTATAAGACGGCACTGAACAAGTTGAAGCAATATGTATGAGAGAAAGATATCTTTGAGTAGCATTTTATTTTTATTTAAATTTGAACTATAGTCGCGTATACGTGGGGATCGATTTTAACGTGAGGGAGGCTAGAGTTGTATGAGGCAAAATGTACCTAATGCTATCGCTGAAAGCCCCGGCACTACGAAACAGGAAAAATTAAACCTCTATGTTTGTGTGCTAATGTGATAAAATTGATTCTGCAGAAAGGACGGTGAGTTAATTCAAGTTAGGCTTATGCTTTCGTGACAGTGAGCTCTGTATAACAATTGTGGTTAGGAATGATTTTAATACTTTGATACATAATCGCGATTATCTACAGTGTGGTGCATATATTTTCAATCACGTTTTATGCTAATAAGGCCGTCAAGATTTCAAAAACACATATAAACAATAATAATAATAACAAAAAAAAAAATAATCACCTGTGGTAAACACGACATCTTTGTGTAACTTGACGTATATATGCATTCGTATTAAGCTAAGTTGTAGTCTGACGACATTCAATTCTATTTCTTTATAGAATTAGCATTGATGACATCTTCATATAAGCTTTATATGCAGTGATCTTCGGACAGATCATGTGATCTAACTCATTTCAATGGTTCTAATCAAACGTAAGTGGCGTTCAGTCTGCTTTTGAAAACATAGCTTTCGAAGTATTGCAATTGTGGTAGACAAAAAAAAAATCTTCGTTTGTTTCGTTGTTTAACAAACGTTCGATAATCGTAACAATAAAATAACAAATATCTCGATAAACTGCCCTAAACGCATGCGTATCTTCTTCGAAAATACTCGAAATCCAATATTAATACTTTAGATGAACGTTTCCTTGCTGAAAAATGGGAACGGCCCGTATAGCTATTGTCGCATGCAACCCTCCCCAATACCTGCCTTAAACTAGTCTACATTGTTACACCCTCTACGTTTATTCACGTAGCTGTAAAACAGGCTTTCTCGATCATCGTCGAATTTCCAAACTCAAAGGCGTTTTCAAGTTCCCCTTACAGTTGTTGTTAACAACCCGTGTGGGGCAAACGACCTTCTAATCGCCAGATTAATATATCTTTTCAGTTTGAATTGTTTAAAAGGGCCATAAGTTTTAACTTACTATATTTGAACCTTTAGTAACAGCGACAGTGTCCTTTTTTAGTATTACATAAAGTTAATAGCGTTTAAAACCTACAGTCCTAAGAATATGGGTAGAGTCTGACGGCCATTATTTGAAGCTTAACTGGTTCAATTTTGACCATTAAAATGTAGCTTATTGTTGTTACGACAGGCTCTGTTTCCTCATTGGGTTATATCGAAACAAAGTGGTCTGCTTATTCTTGATTCCATTTTCTAATCGTTCATTGCTTCGTTTAGTAGTATGAGACGGATTGTTACGGAGCATTACTATTAACTTCCTATGCACTACCTTATTTTGTTACCTAATTGACTGGGATGATCTCATTCTACTTCAGCCACAGCAGGATAGTGTTGGTAGCTTTGAGCTTCTTCAGTCGACTTATCTTTCAGCCCTGACTGTTGATAATTTGCACTTTCACGTCTCCATTAGCAGAACTTGATGTCCAAGTCTCAGTGCTTCAAGTCAATTCCAAAAAGAGTTCACAGTAGTTTGATAGTGGAAAACGTTTTAAAAGCCTTTGTGCTCGTCTACTAGTATCGTTATTGTGCCTAAAGGGCTTCTACCGAAGAGACAAGTAGAAGCTTTGTTGCCAACAGGCCGATACAGTTCCAAATTCACTCTATTAGCAAAATGCACCGTTCCTTACTAGTTAACGAGCCTTTTTTTATGTTCGCCTTGTCTTTCTTGGAAAAAGATGTACCTAATTAACTGCGACTGGTAACCTCTTTCACTCGCATATGCCGTACGTGTCTATAGAATGAGAACGCGAAGGCTCAGTGCCGTCCTCTGAGCCAAAGTCCTACCAAAGACAGGGCGTCTAAAAGGGGTCGTTTCGGTGTCTCCTTTAATAGCTTCATCGGAATAGTAAAATAAATGATTCCTGCACTAATAGAACAAGATGGTTACGTGGTAGACAATAACATGGGCAAAGGTTACAACTTCATGGCTCAAGAAAGGACAGGAACTTGTTAAACGGAAATGCAATGGCTAAACTGAGTAGAATGAACCTCGAAAAGAAGTTAAGAAACGTCCCGTCGGACCGTTATCGTTTGGAGCAGGTTATTGGCAGCTCTGTGATTTGAGCATAGTTAAACAAAGGATTGATTATCGAAGAAGCAGCTGTCATAACAAAAGGAACAGCATTCGATTTTATCTCGGGGAAAACGAGGAGTTATTGAAGAAGCTAGAAAAACTAACAGGTACCGACATGGATGTTCTTGCTTTCATGATCCCGTCACGAGCCATGCGAGTCGCCTCTGTCGCTTTGCCACTGTTAGTGAAAACAAACCCTGGGATGGGCTTTAAAGTTGACAAATCAACGTTTCGAAAAGTTTCAATAAACATGGCTTTTGTGTCGTATGTAGGTACCCTTCGGGTAAATATAGTCGACAATTGGTGACGAAGAGTAATTTTACCTGAGCGTAATGATACAATACTTTGTTAGAGTATGCATATATATATATATATATATATATATATACATACATATATGCAGGTGCCGAAAAATGTATATGCTGTTTAACGGGCCATAACTGCCTTGTCATTTAGGGCATAATTATGTGGGAATGATAAACTAAAAACATTAGCTTTTTGAATCAAAAGCTAAATTTAAGATGTTATTGGAAGTATGAAAATGTAGCAGGAGTACAAAGAAATGCTACAGTCAGTTCCAAACCTATGCGACTTTCAATTAATGGGATAAAAAGTTAGTTTAAAACGGATAGAATTGTACAAATTGTTGATGGACATTGTTCCGGAAGACCAAAAACATCGACCGATAAACCTAAAAGTACGAAAGTATCCCAAAAATCTATAGGAAAATCAAGTTACGAACTTGCCATCAGCAGATCAAGTACTTGTCGTATTTTAAGACGTTATAGGTAGAGAAATTATATCTTACAAATGATAAATGCTGTCCCTAAAAATTATCTGGACCCAAAAAATAATGTCGTCAATAACTTGAAAAAAAAACAGTATGCATAGTTTTCGGAAAAAAAAATTGAGCGTTAACATAATTGCCCTTACTGGGCAATTAGTAATGATTTAAATTTTTTACTTATATACATATATATTATGTTATTACAGCAGTTACTATATGATGCCACAATCCAAATAAAGAATTAATCGTACTGCTCTTTTTTTACAATACTGTGATTGGTGACAACTAATTTCATTTACTGCAACAATCTATTCTACTAGGCTCTTACGGGAACTTTACGTGAAGATGGCGAATTTTATCTTCGACAGTGCGGAGCACTTGCGCACTATTATCGTTATTTAAGAGTATATCTTCATGAGAGTGCACATCTTCAAAAACGGATAGTCTGCCCGCTCCCCAGACCTGATTTCACTAGGCCTTTTTTTTTCCAACAAGATACCTTGAAAATAAAATCAACGACAAAGAAAGCTAGCTTCACTTGAAAATTTGAGGGCCTTAGTCGACCAAAATGCACCGCAATTGAAATTCGTAAATGAATAGTTTCTTGCTATCAGCAATATATTGAGCAGAACGATAATAAATCTACGGTAGGAGAAAAGGTTATGCATCTTATCTAGACTCTTTATATTCATTATGAAACTGAAGTTATGATCATTTAAGTTGTGAAGACACTTTTTGGCATTCTTCTACTAAGAATAGATTTCGTGTTTTTCACTAAAATTTGAAAAAACGACGGATTCAGAGCTCCTCTAGTACGATGATACTTGGAAGAAAAACGCTGTTTAATATGTCTCGAATTAGATCTTGCCTAGATTAGGCTAGTAGAGACTACCTGCGTGTAGAATAATTTCATAGAAATGAAATTTAAACATTTATAAAACAGTCGTGAATTTTATATGGCGTTGTATCTGCTGTTCGATATCACCATTTCTGAAACTAAACAGAAGTTTCCGTGTTAACATATAAACCTATCTATGATATTTTTCATATAACAGTGTTTCGTTGAAAAAAAAAACCCGCCAGGACATCTGATGAAACATTAGCTTTTTAAAGGTGCACTGTACAGTTAAAACTCTAAGGGTAAAGGCTCTAAGGGTACCGCAGCTGAGGCTGGTAGTAATATGTTTAGTCTTAGAAATATTAGCAATTGGCAACTGGTACGCATTTACATTGAGGACAAAAGATCCCTTTCTGGTTCCTATAATGCTGTCAAATCCTGCATAATGATTTATCTTCGAGAAGCGAAGAACGCAATAAACAACAACTGACCTTCACAACAACTGAGTTATTTTGATTGGTAGGGCCCATCTGTCTAGCAGTCAGCTGAAGAATATCTGCAATGTCAAGACATTGCCGATAACGGTAAGCTGATGACGCATGATGTTATGGCACGTTTTTACTTTTATTTCTTCCAGTCGCTTGTGTTTTGTTGTAAACCTTGTCCTTAATTTATCCGCACAAAAAGGTCGATTGGCATCAGATCCGA